TCTTGCATCCTGTCAATTTATTCCCCCACTGCTGACAGCGAGTGCTTTGTGAACATTAACAGGATCATGTTATTCCCTTTCTTAAAATCCTTTTATTGCTTTCCATTCCGTTTAGAATTAAGTCAAAATCATCCATCGTAGCCCTCAAGACCTGAATGATCTATCCCTGAAGACCTCTATAACCTCAGTTCCTAGCACTCTCAAGGCTTCTGGAAACCAGGAAACAGTGGGGGGTGCTGTTAAACTGATGTTCTAAACTGGCATTGTTGAGAATCATGGGGACATGATGATCTTAAAAAGCAAATCAACTTTTAGTCAGTTCTATTGGTCTTCAAATACTGCATGAACAATGCATCCTCCTCGCTTACATCTAGAGGGACTGCTCCCCCAGAGCTTCCTTTGCATACTTCTCGATTATTCCAAGCAGTCCTGACTCATTTGTGCTTTAGAGTCTCCACCTATACACTCCTTCAGTCTGGCACACTTTTTCTAAACTTCCCAGGACTAAATTCTTACTTCTCAAAGCTCAGCGCAAACGTCACTAAGAGGAGATTTCTCAGGTGAAATCTAATTAGATATATACACCTCTCCTCAACCCTCTTGTATACTCTCATAACCTTCTTGCTTCCTTGATTCTTCTTTTCACTATTAATAATTACTTTTTTCAAGGGTTATGCTCGTTGTTTTATTGGTTTGGGTTCTTTGTTTGTTTACATTATTGGCTCCAAGAAGTCAAGGACCATTTTTCTTTGATTTACCACTAATTCCAGGAATTAGCATATGCCTGGAATGTAGTATGTGCTTAATAAACAAATCAATTAAATAAATGGATAGGTGAAGGAATGCGTAAATGTATAAATTTTCAGTCCTAGTTGCTTTTCACACATTAAAGTTTTCATTTCCTTTCTGAAATGAGACTTATCACAACACTATAATTTGTAAAATTACTTATAGTATACAAGGAAAGAATTATAGAACCAATGAGATAGAAACCCATACTCCTTTTGCATACTGAATGCCAAAAACTTGCTAGTGGCAAGATAGAGTGCTTGGAAGATTTGAGGGAGGCAATTTTTTTTCCATTGTCTTTGGCTTGCCTTTTCCCACATCATAGAATAACACATTAATTGCTAAGCTGAATCTCATGCAGGTTCTTTTTTTTTTAATTTTTATTTTTTTGATATAAGTATAAAAACTGTGCACCAGAAAGGTTAAACAACTTCCTTCCAGTTTCACAGAATTCCTGGCACAATCAAGACTAAACTCTAGGTGTTCTTGACTTAGAGTTCCAAGACCTTCCCTTCAGCCATATCTCTATTCTTATCTCCCCTGGGTTCTCCTCCTCATTTGCATCAAAGAGCTTTCCTAATAAGCCCTTCTCAGCCTAAATTGTTCTCTCTGGACAGGGTACATGTCAAAACAATCCCTCATTTCTTTGAAATGTATTCCCTTTTTTCCTATGGTAATAGGAGCTTCTTTGAAAAAAATAGATCCCTTCCTAAAGAATTAATATCAAGTGTGTGTGTGTGTGTGTGTGTGTGTGTGTGCATGAATGTGTATGTGTTCACGCATGCCCACACGTGCATTTTTTCTGTTCATAGCTAATCTTGTAATTAGACCTTCCCAACACTTAAAGGCATATATGTAACGATTTTCAAGTTTGGGGGTCCATGTCCATGGCTGACAAGGCCAACAGTCTATGAAAGTTATGTAGATCTGCTAACAAGCTCTGTTCCTGAGCTTGAGTTCTCAACATCTTCCTTTTTTCCAACTTTTGTAATATTTTTCAGTACAGCGATCTTCTGCAAGGAAGAGCCCTGGCAGGATAGAACAGTGGTTAAAACCAACCACCATGGGACTTCAGATGTAGCTCAGTGGTAGAGTTATTTGCCTACCAGGAGTGAAGCCCTGGGTTCCATCCCCAGCACTAAAAAAGAAAAAATGAAAAAGAAAAAAAATACTGACATCTATGGAGCATGGCATCTCTGTCAAGATAGAAAATAGTAAAGTAACTTAATTGTTGAACAGTCATACAAGAACTATTTTCCTGAATGGACAAGCACAGGTTTCATACCCCAGTCCCTGACCTCTAGCCAATAGATCCTTTTCAGCTGCATATATCTGGACAAGTTACTATATTTGCCTAATTTCCTCATTTGTAAAATAAAGATAATAATATTGACTCATAAGATTCTTGTATCATATGAGTTAATATGTACCAAGGGTTTGGGAACAGAACCTGATATGTTACAAGCTCTAAATTAATGTTTGTGATTATTGTAAATATTATATTTGATAAGGGTTTAAATGAATCAGTCTTGTTTAAAGTCCAGCTTACATAATTGGCTAATTATTCCAAAGCTCAATCTTTTCAGTGATCTCTAAATTTATAGAGTACAGATTTTAGGACCCACTTTGAGTTGCTCTCTCATTTTCTCCTTCTTTCTTACGAGCCAGGCCTGTAATCCCAGGGACTAAGAAAGCTAAAACAGGAAGATTGCAAGTTGGAGGCCAGTGTCAGCAACTTAGTAGGACCCAGTTATCAATTAAACAACAAAGGGCGGGGGATGTGATTCAGTGGTAGAACAACACTGGGTTCAACCTTCAGTGCAAACAAACAAAAATAAATAAATAAAATATTTTGTGAAATCATTATCAATACAAGCTTTAAGGGAAAATGATGTCTATGTCTCCAATCCAGAGGAGCTTCCTGCACCCAGAGTGAGAAATAGAATTTTCACTTAAAATGCTTTTAAAAATAGCCACTTCAAGGCAGCATATGTCTAGGGATGAAGCAGACTTTTCTCGTCTCCTTAATGGATGGCTCACAGCATTTACCAAGGAAACAGAGCTACCAGTACATAAAAAATGCGGAGGTTACGTTTAAGCATTTAAGAAATTACTCCAGTGCTTCTTAGCCTCTTCAAAATCACTATGAGAGAGTCCAACCACTGACTTTCAGCATCAGAATACCAGAGAATGAGACCAGGGGTTTCCCCTAATTCACACCCGTAACTCCCACCTGCAGACAGAAAAAGCAACCAAAGATTCCTTGCAATCTCAGAGAACCCACTTCTCTTCAATATCTTCATCCATAGCTCAAGTCTGACTATTCTGATCCTGAATATTTCATAGCCTGGCATCAGTTCAGGTATCCAAATTTAACATCACGGTGAAATTCTGAAAATTAGGAAATCATATGCCAAAAGCAAAAGCATCTTTCTAAATGACTAAGACTTCCCAGGCGATTCATGCTTTGTTTCATATTGCCAGCTCTAGAGCAAGTGGGGAGGTGAGCAGAATGACATGGAAGGGCCCGGAATCTGCTTCCACCTGTGGTGTTGAGTTGCACAGTGACAACATTTATTTCAACACTATTCATGATTCATTATTAATCATGAGCTTTGAATAAATTACCTACGAGAATCAAGTAAGTTGGTACTTTCTAAGGTGAGTGTGTCTGTGTGTATTGTATTTATTTTTAAATTTATTAGAAAATTTGAATTTACTTTACCCTTAATATTCCTGGGAATATTCTCATTGATACTTAAAAAGTAATTGAGCATGTCCTGCCTGGCCTGGCCTTGACTCAACCACTTGCCAAATCAACACCCAACTAACAATCACACTGCTTTTGTAGTAGAGACTTTTTTTTTCTTAATACAGTAGTTCCCAAGGCCAAAGGTAGAGCCTGGCCACTCAGTGTGGTCCATGGACCAGCAGTATCAGCATCAGGAAACTGAAATACATAATCTTAGGTCTCACCCAGACCAACAGAATAAGAACTTGCATTTGAGCAAAACCTTCAAGTTATCCAGATGTGCATTAAAATTTGAAAAGTGCTAGCCTAAAGGAGTATTTATCTCTCTCAGGATGATGCTAAGCTGATCACCCACATCAGGATCACCGGCAATGCTCCTCTTAAGGAGTAGTATTCTGGACCCTTCCACAGACTGCATCACTGTCTGGGGTGGGTGCCCTTAAAACTGCATACTAAACAATCTTCTCTCCCTGATGCTTAGGCATCTAAAGTTTAGAATTACCAGAGCAGAATTTTAGGACATTATCTGTTTTGTTATTTTCATATTTCTCTTCATGAGACAAATCAATCGCTGAGCAAGATATACTGAGAATGGTAAACCTATCAAACTGTACATTTACTAAAACACAATCACATAAACACACGTATATGCACGTACCCACATAAAAGTGGCATTAGAAATAAGTGCAAATATACTGCCTTTAATGGTAGGTCAAAATCATCCAAGGAGGTTCCCTAGATCATTTGGAATGGAATGCAGACTGACTGGTTAATTGTGTCGGAGAGGGGAAGAAGTAAGTCATGACTAGTAATGACATTACACCTCCTGTACTCTTGTTTAACATAGTTCTTTGTACTCCCTGCAACATCATTAGAGATTTATTTGATTCCAGTAACTTACTTTCAATACAAGGAAAGAGTATTTTGTATCTAGCAGATATTAAAAAAAATACTCAAAACATCAAAAATATACTGCTTTCCTCTCTGTTCTATACAGTGGTAGTCTTTATGAATAATTGCTTAAGGTAATTCTTTCAAATACCAAGGTAAAAGGTATTACTGTATTCATGTGGTTCCATAGAAGAAACAATCTTTTGATTTTGATGTTTAGAAAATCCAGTTGGGTATAATTTTTACTTTCCCTTTGGATGTTTAGCAGGAGAAAGGCCCACTCAAACTCAACTTCACAAGGTCCAAGTCATCCCAATAAATGAAATGAGTGTCATATGGCTCTCAGCTCAGATCAAGCTAACATTTTAGTATTATGGAATAACTTATGCTAAAATATTTAACACCAAAAATTCTAGCACACAGGATTTTATTTTTTTCTAACTTAATGCTCACATAAAAAGTTAAACAGAAGAAAGGAAGACATAAAACCAAAGATAGGAAACTATACTTTAAAAGCATGATCCATTTTTAATACTTTTGGAATGCTACATGCAGAAACATGGCATACCTCGGAGTACAGGATTCCCATTCTGATTCTTCACGGGCTTACTTCACCTCCACAGCTTCTTGAGTTCTCTGGAGGTATTTCTGATGAACATTAAAATCCTTCCTGAAGAGAAAGGTCCCTAGAAGCCCAAACCTGTGGCAAGCCCTTTCTTTCCACACTTGTGAGGGTTCTTTCCCAGAAATGCAGGCAGCAACACACCTTCTAGAGAAACCAGACTAATGAAAAAAGGCATTGGTTTACCCTGTAATGAAATGAGCGGTGTATCGTTTCATGTTACAACCTGAGGAGCCGGTTTCTGAGTCATGTTTACTCTGCCAGTGGTAAGGTACAGGAAAGAAGGAAGCAAAGTTGGGGTGATGTGGGGGCAGGGTTTTTTTAACTGGCAGAAAGGACTTAGGGTTCAAAATAGGATATGTGTGTAGGACATTTTTCTTTTCAAAATCTAGTTTTCAGCAGTCATTGGGAAAAACTATAACAAATTCACTCAGGAGAGCTAGCTGTATGTATCTGTAAAGGGTTTGACAAATAATACTTAAATTCCCCAAAAGTTATTACTAGCAAGTATCACTTTGCCAACTATTTAAACAGTATTATAAAATAATAAATTAAAGGTCCTTTTCATTTAAATTTGTAAATGGATACGTGATGATCAAACACATTTATGGGTTATGATGTGATAATTTGATACACATATATAATTCATAATCATTCAACCAAGAGTAAGTAGCATTTCCATCTCTAGCTGTAGAATGCTTGAATTTATTCCTTCTTTCTAACTGTGTTTTAGTACCATTATTCAACCTTCTCTATCCTGCCCCAGCCCAGTCCTTCCTGGCCTATAGTGACTGCTTTTCTCCTCTCAACTAAAGTCAATTATTATGCATTTAAATGGAATCATCAATGTATTTGGTTAAATGTGCTGATATGCCAAATTTCTTAAATATTGTAAACATTTTATTTACTACACATAATTCCAAATATTCATACATTTTCTCTTTACTTAACATAATCATCAATTGTACTATTTTAAACTTCCCTGGAAATAAAACACACCCACCCACACACATGCACATTCCCATGAAAGAAGCAGTTTAAAGAAACAGTGCATCCCAAGCAAATTGATTTGATTTTCCCAGTCAAATAAGTTTCCTTAGAGGCCAAAGATTAGGGTCAAATCCAAGGCCTGTGCCTACAGCTGTTCACAAAAATTTTTCCTACTCTACTAACGGACACAGTGAGTTATTTTTTATAATTGTTATAACAGGATTCACACACTCTTCTGTGGAGTTGCCATTGAGGCCACTTCTTGGGAGTTTAAGAATTAGCAATTTGTCTGTTGGAGGAAATGAAAGCCTGCAATACCCACCAACATTGCAGCCATTTCCTCTTTGGCTTGGTTTCTTGTGCGTTTCCTTAGTTTCCTAACACATTTCAGTGTCTTCCAAACATTGGTCTTCCTAGGTACTTCACTCTTTGATGAAAATCTTTTGCATAAAAGAACCCCCTGTGGCCTCTTTGAACTAACCTGTGTGGACAGAAATGCTACTAGCGGCTTCTCCTTGCCCAGTACTCCTTGAGTGAACACTGAGCTGAAGTTTTCTTTAGTTTTCTATCAGGATCACAATTTGTTTAATTGGATTTTGCATGTCTTCCTTAATGTCATCTAGTTCTAAGGGAACAATACTCATTATAATGACGAAAGATTAAGTGTTTTAATGTAGGATTAACTAAAAACAAACCCAGAAAAGGCAATTTTCTCATTGCAATTGATAAAACTCTTGCATTTATTCTAAACTAGCAAGTATGAACCAGGGATATTCTTGCCCCCAAGTAGACTTCTGGATGCAGCAAAGAAAAATAAAGAAAGTTCAGTTTTCCTGGAATTTCAGATAAATATCTGCAATACTGAATGGGACATAATTATACTTAAAAAAAATGTGTTGTTTAATTGAGACTCAAGATTTGACGATGTCTGGAGACACTTTTGGTGGTCACAACGAGGCATGGGAGCTTGCTACTGATAGCTCAGTGGGGAAAGGCCCAGTAATGCTGCTCAACATCTTACAGTACACAGGATGAATTCTCACAGCAAAGAATTGTTCATTCCAAACTAGTGTAAAACTCTGGTCTAAGAAAGTAGAGCTGAAGGAAGAGTGCTTGATAATTATAGAATGTTAGAATGGAGTATAGTGAAATATTTCTGAAAAAATTCTGATAATCAGTTTTGGGTTTTTTTGTTTGTTTGTTTGTTTGTTTGTTTGTTTGTTTTTGTACCAGGATTGGAACCCAGGTCCACTTAACCACTGAGACATATCTCCAGACCCCCCCTTTTTTTTTTTTTTTTTTTTTTTTTACATTTTATCTAGAGACAAGTTACTTGGGGCCTCACTAAGTTTCTGAGGCTGGCTTTTGAACTGGTGATCTTCCTGCCTCAGCTTTCTGAGCTGCTGGGATTATAGGCATGCACCACTACGCCCAGCTGAACAAATCATTTATAAAAAATCATTCAGGATACACTCTCTAGCAATTTGAGCCCATAATTACAAAGACAAATCAGGAAAAAGAACTTCTAGGAAATTACTTTCATACATGAATGTCTTCTGTCAAGAATTAATGTCAACATTCATTTGATCCTGGCTATAGATGTGGCCAAACTCAGCTGACCAGCATCCAGTTCTCAGTGCAGAATGACTGGCTCCTGCAGGGTCTGTTCCTAAAACTTCCTTCAGGAAGGGTTCAGTAGAGCTTATCAGGCTGAGTGTACTACACAGAAACTCAGTGCTTTATCCTGAAATCTCTACCCTCAAATATTGTTTAATGGCCCCATTGGAGGGATTTAACTAAGAAATTGTAATGGTTAGAATTTTATTTAGAGAACAAAGGTCCATCTGTCTGTTATGTAAATGGTGAATTCAACATAGGCAAAAGGAAACACCCAGATCAATTAGTAGGTGCATGAATGCATTAGGCCAACTGAGAGATCGCAGTAACCCAAATCAGGAGAGCAGCCACAAGGATTGAGAGAATACGATGAGCACTAGAATTTAGAAGGTAGAAATGACCGACTTTATTGACAATGAGTTATTGGGCTATTATTTCCTACCCTCAAAAGCACTTTTCTATCATCTTTCATTCTGTGATACTGACATTGGTGCTCTGAAAGCTCCAGTGCCTCCCTCACTCCTACCCCCCTGAAATCATAAAGCTAAAGAGGAAGGGACACATACTCATTCCTGTGTGTTTCCTGATCCTATCAGCATTATTCTGTCAATGGCCCTTCTTCCTAGAAACAGGAATGGGTCCAGCTTTTTGCCACACACCCAGAACCAGCCTGCTCATACCCTTCAGAGGGGGCAGCCCCAGCTGTCACTCACTCAACCCCATATAGGGAACTCCTCCCTGGAGATTCTGAGGTTCCAACAGCAGCCAGGATATAAGGGCTTGAGTCCCAGAATTTCAGGGCCCTTTTCTCAGTTCTATTAACTCCAGTCTCTGGTGGTAGCTGCTGAGATTCTACCTGTTACCCTGGTGCTGCTGTCTGTGTTTTTCAGTCCTCCGATATCTACATACCAATTCCTTATATTAAATTCATTTGGTTTCAATAACTAGTGTGCTTTTCTTTTCTGGATCCTAACTAACACAGTACTCTGGAGATGTTTAGGAGCTAAAAATAATAGGAATTATGCATCTGATATAAGACACATGAGAGGGCTAGGGATGTAGCTCAGTGGCAGTGTGCTTGAATACTATATGCGAGGCTCTGTGTTGGATCATCAATACCCCCTGCCATGCCCCCCAACCCCCAACACCCCTCGACCCCCCACTTCCCCCACCTCTGCTGATAAAAAAAGAACATGGGAAAGAGAGGAAAAATTGTGTGCATATGTCTTGCTGGGAATTTTGATAGATTTTGACTCTTTTCACAGAAATGAAAAACACTGAAGAGCAAGATCAGGGAAGGGCTAGTTCAGATTTACAAATTTTGTTTAAAGGACATTGGTGAGTGGGAATTCCAATAGGAAGCTTGTTATTTGATTCTGGGCTTTAGAGCAGAAATTACACTTGAGATTATAATTTTTGGTCATTAATGATAGATTAATAATCCTCAGTATAAGAAATGGAACAGTCATTTTTCCCCACCTTCTATATCGTCCATCTCTTTCCATAATTCTCCTGCTTGTGAATGCTTTTATTTTGTTAAATTAAATACAGAATTCAGAGGCCAAATTGCGATGATAATTGTTTCTTTACACTAGTAGAGAAGCTTTACTCTTTTTCAAAGACACAGTGAGGCTCTATAAATGTTTAAATAGTTCATTTGAGCCAACAGTGATCCATAAATTGGGCAGCTCCAAACCGGAAGTGGTTCTGGAGGTCCTGGGAGGGATTGCAAGGCGAAGGCTTTCCACGGGTAAACATGGAAGTAAAGCAAAAAATTGGTTATGCCCTTGCCTCATTTGGTCTATTCTAGTCTCCAGTTATCTGGTAGTTTATGATTGGGCTAACCTTAAATTTCATTTTTGTCTTTAATATAAGAATGTACAAGAAAGAGCCCCAGTTAAATTGTGCTTTTGTTTGTAAACTAGGCAAGATTAAGGTCACTCAGGAGGCCTAGCTGGCTATGTCTGTTCAGGGATTCTTTAGGCCTGGTCTCCACTTTAATGTAGTATTACTTTAACATTCCCAAACTTGGAAAGAAATCTTGTCAAATTTGAAATCAATTTTGAATTTTCCTAGTAAATAAGAATTTTTTGATAATGCAGGGGTAACTTGGTGTCAGCCAGCTCCTAAAATGAAAATATCCATGTTGTGAGTTTAAATGTAAAATAGGTCATTTAATTGCTTAGCACTTATGCAACACTTAATTCCTCGGTGTGTTCTATTTTTGTGTCATCACCTATCGTGTACTTACAGCATTAGTTGCCATCACATGTTTTAATGGAAACATAAAGAGTACATGTCATACTCAAGGTTCCCGGGTCATTGGAATGCTATGATTTATGTTGCCTAATTTTTGAGATGTCCTAACATACCTGAGACAAGGAAGTTTATTTATATTTCTTGGTATTTTAAAAAAAGGAAGAAAAAAAGCTAGGAAGTAACTCTATTACTGATAAATCATGTTGCATTGAGCGACTATTTCTGGAAATAGTCACCTACTTCTGCAAACTGTCTACTACTCTTCCCTTGACTCAGGAATCTGCTGGATGACTTTAATTGTAAG